TGGTACATCATGGCTGCGTAAGCTGGTGGAAGGCGAGGATCTATTAAAATTAGATCTTTACAGAAAACTGGCGTAAATACTTGCATGTTTTTCGTCGTATGAGTGAGGTTACTGGAGGCCCAATTACTATTCTCCCTAATTTTTCCAATCTCCGAATCCTTATTCTACAATTTTTAACCTTTACAATGTCTTTAATGCATTTCTAACATCTTTGGTGTTTGGGTTGTCGATGTGTGGCTCCGATTGCTTACCATCAGGTGGTCCGTCTGCTCGTTTGCTGGCCGATCCCGTAAAGAAAATAAAATGATGATGAAGCTTAGCTGCTATATGCAAACATCGAAGTGTCGACTCGACCGAGGATGACCGCTTACCATCGGGCAATAGCTTTATTGCTAAGAATGTTCAAAAAATGCTCAATAATTAAAACCTGGCTGGCAAAAACATTGAGGGGTTAGTCCAAAAATGTTCATCTCTAATGTCGTCACGTTTATGACGTCCAGCGCTCTAATTGGCGATCCCAAGTTAACCAACTAATCAGAGGGCTAAACGCAGTAACGTTTCGATAAAAAACCTTGCACTAGTCACTCAGAAGTATGTTAACTTACTTCTTACAAGATCGATTGGTGCTTCGGATATAAATCTTGACAGCTTTATAGTGACATCTAATAACGGGCTGTCTAACCAGGCCAACCGACCATTCCCTTGTAGCCTGCAAAAAATTACCACTGTCAAAGTCTTCAATACTCCCTTTTATAAGTAATCAAACGCATTAATCCAAATTATCAATATGGCGCTCTTTCCAGGCCATATCATAAATGTTAATTATCATCATTGGTACTAAATCAAGCCTTTTAAAATCATCCAGTAACTTCACTCGTCCGAGGGGGGGGGGGAGAGGAAGTGTCAGACTCTTATTGAATAAAAACCAACCCGTTCCTACTTCTGTACTTAGAGGCGAAGCTCCGGCAACCCATTAAGTTTCGGTATTAGCCCTATTGGGCCCCATTTGTAGTGATACGATCGCTCTTTGGGGCGTGCGTGGAATGCGACCCGATGCACGCTCGGGTCTGGTTCTGGTCACCCGTGCTCACCGTCCCCTGCTTACGGTGGCCGGAGAACTTATCCTTTTTTTTTGTTTTTGAGCTGGGAACGTCATCCATGACTTCTCCCGACCCGGAGCACTGGGCATCAACCCTACTGGGCCCCATTTTTGGTGGTCGGATTGCTCTATGGCGCGCGCGCAACGGGACACGTTGTACGCACGGGAACTCAACCTAGCTGGAGAGTGTTTTGGGTAGAGAGGTAGCGCGTTTGACTGTGAGAATCTCAGATCGGGCCTATCATTCTATCAGATAAGTAGTGTATAAAGAGGTTATATTTAAAAATTACTCATTGATTATAGTTTCCGTATGTATAATGACATCCTGAACATGTTTCTGATCTTTTGTAGAAATTATTCTACAAAGTTCTATTAAGTATATGATCATATATCCTTCATCCAGTTCCTTCATCATCTCGTAGTAACGATGATTCGGAGGCTTGGTCGATGGAGTGAGAATTGAACCTATAAAAGATAATAATATTGAAAACCTCACTAATATCAGGTGATTCGATTACATGTGAACATTAGCTTATGATGATACCTAAGTACGTGTGTCGTTGACAAGTCAACTTCGCTGCCATCACTTGACTGGACAATACACTACTCGTAGTTCTTACAAACTTACCTGGTTTTTATTATAACTATCGTAAGACATACTAAATTAACTAAAAATATAATCAGTAGGCTGCGCAACATCACGGCAACCGCGCACGCTGCTCATGAAGAAGTAGAGCTTTTCTCTACTTCTCGAAACTAGTAGAGCTTTTCTCAGTATATTCACGTGAGTGACCCGCGAATTTTAGTTAAACTTACCTGGTGTTGTACCTTCCAAAGGATCTACAGGTAGATAGACAGGTCTACCATCAATTATTGTCGATTTAAAAGTACTAAATTCATAATGATCAGTTGTCTCGTTATGGAGATGACCGTAAAAATTTTTAATAGTAGAATTATGTTGTTTTGTGGATAGGTACATTGGGTAGTACTTCTTTACTTTTCTGATATGTTTATGTCTTATTTTTTTGTTGAGTGTATGCCTCTGTCTGTGCAGTCTAGGACGTCGTGTCAGGTTATATCCGTGGTGTATTATTGGTTTATTTTGTACAAGTTTTTGGTACCATCGTGGTGTAATCTGTTGCGTTGCTAGAAACAATGTTTTGGTTAGTGGATTTGAAGTACACCAATAGTCAGGAACCTAAATTTTCGTACAACTACCTTATTCGCCGAGTGGTTGCAAGTGATTATCGGGTAAGAGGTCGCGGGTTTGATTCCCGAAAGGGGCAAAGTATTAATGGGTATAAAATAAATTTCAGTAGCAGCACGGAGTCTGGAATTGTGTCTGATATATGGCAATACGCCTATTGTGTGGGACTCATAATACCTCTATATCATCATATTATTTGGCAAATGTCGGTCGCTTTACATAAAAGACTAACATACAGATAAAGTTCTATAACAATTGGTAATAAAACTCTTACTTGTAAAATCATTTCCTTTCATATTCCATCTGTTAGAAGACATGAAATTAGTCATCTCTTGCTGCCACAACCTATAAAACTTATTTGTAGTTTTGTAAGACCACGACCTAAGAGGAGCGATGTTGGACTCAAGAGGAGAAGATGTATGATAGAGATATATAGATAGAGGATATGAAAAAGCTGACTTTTCAAGTATTGATAGAGCAGTTGGAGAGGAAAATTTCTTAGGTGATGATGAGGTTGTAGTGACTTCATAGATGACTGTAGAAGTAGATGCAAATGCATGTAATCTTTCATATAGGGAAAGGTCCGGTATGAATGTAGTAATATTGCGGAAGGATTTTCGTCCAATGCTATATGTGCTCATAGATGATGAAGTACTTTTCATTGAGGTAGAACTTTCAACTTCTTCTCTTAAATTATATATCTGACTAAATTTCACTACGGCTAGTTTGTTAGAAGTAATATTTGGTGAATTTCCTTTAGTAGGAGCTAATGTCGATGGACGAGTGGACTTCGTTTTTGAAGTAGTAAAAATAGATGTTAACCTTGGGTTAGTTGCAACAGTTCTAGAAGTTTGTTTGCTTTGTTTGCTAGGAGAGACAACTGAACGAAAAGTAAATTGTTCAGGCACTCGATGTGTTGAAAATGTGACTTTTTGAAATATTTTATCAAAGAAATTTCTTGGAATCCTAGGAGATGTAAACGTAGAAGCATGGCCGACCTGTTTAGGCTTTAATGTAACAGAATTTGGTTTAGTTGTAGAATTTACTTTTGTTGTAGTTTTAAGTGTAGAGACAGGCGTGGCAGAAGTACGTATAACATTTTCAGTTATTACAGGGATCGGGAACAAAGGTTTGCTGACGTAATTCGGAAATTTATTAGGTTTTAAAGTACTTTTAGTGGGAATAGATTTAGTCGCGAATGATCTAGCTCGAAGGTTCGGTGCTTTTGGATCTTTCACTCCTTTGTCATTTCTCTCTGTTTCTTTCTTTTCCTTACTCCTTAATGTTTTTTTATTTTTGTTTATCAATATTTTTAGATCTCTGAAGAAGGCGTTCACTATCTTCATCCTTTCCTGGAGTTTTTCCATAAGTTCTGTCTCGTTGAAGTTATCTGAAATTTTTGCGTTTTAATACTTTCACAAAAAGTTTAGTGCCTCAAAAAGTGTTCAGAGTAGCTGAATTAGAATGTGATATTTCTAAGTAATTGTGCGGGCTCGGAGGGATCAGGCTGTGGATCTGTCCTCGACGAGCTAGGTGGTTTGTGGAGAGCAAGTGGACTGTATATTGAAATGGAGAACTCTTGTACACTGATACACGTTTATTACGATAATGTTAACAACACTAGTGGAGATTCACAATATTAGGTCGACTGGCTATGATCGACTTTATACATATAACGACTACATACATTGACAATACATTGACACACTGATTGTGTGATTTTTCATTGACAACTGATGCGCCTCGCAAGGAGGCGTCCTTTTATAGGCGAGCCGCGCGCGGACAGGATTAATCATGTCGCTATGGGCTCGCGACTCGGCTGCTCTGCGACGGAATCATGTTTGTACATGTTCAAAGGCAAGTCAAACCAAGCAGCGGCGGCGCGGAACAAAGGATCGCCGCCGCGCGCCTTTGATATTCGTGTCTGAACTTGCCTTTTCGACATGGTTTGGACAAGTTAGGAACACGTCGCGGGCGGCTCGCGGCCTAGCATTACCGGCGTGCACAGTAATATACAGGATACTGTGTGACTACCTTGCTTCGGAAATTAGAAAGGTAACAGAATATTCTATAAAGTCTGTGTTTGTCAAAAATTATGGAATAGGTTAATAAACAGAATGAATTAGTACGGTACCTATTTTGTTAAGGTCATCACTATTAACTAGACTATAGTGTAAGAATAAAGCTAACAATAATATTAGCCTAGTAGTCTCCATGTTTATGAACCCTTCCTATATCTTTGTTTGGTCATCTGGACTTAAAAACATATTTAAAAATTCGTTTAAGTTCCACAATAAATTTAACACTGCGTATAATCTTTATTTGAAATAGTTTCTTAGTAGTCGATGAAGCGCACAAAAATATAGTGCTTATTTATATTAATTTTATTTTCCATTTAATGTTAATACAGACACTTTTTGTCGATTCAAAAATTAATGCGTAATCGCACGAGTCATGACTGGTTTCATTTTTTAACCCGTTGAAAATGTTATTAAGTATTAGATTTTCATAAAAGAGAACACAAAACAAGAAATTTTTGAAACTTTGAACGCTCAGTTTAAAATCAGTTACGATTCCAATGTTTATTGTCTATAAAATAGTTGTTATTTTATTGGATTACAAATATAAAAATAGTTGCTCACGCAATGTATTTACGATACAATAAAATGTTACTATTTTTATATTAAAATGAAAATGTTTGCTTGTGTTCTGCTGGTCACCATATTCGGTATTTATTTTATTTATAATAAGTTTTACATTTCATTTAGTTTCTTACAAATATCACTCGTTTAATACAATTTTATTGTATAGAATATATTTCTCGACCATTTGCTTCGAAACTCTTAAATGTGAAACTTGAATATGACATCTGTATAGAGAAGTGATTGTATTGGATTCCCTACACGTCTGCAATTTCACAACAACACATTTTGGTTACGAGAACGACAGGCGACGGCGGATATAGATTCTGTGAAGTCAAAATTAAAATAATTTATCACATTCTCTTAAGTAGATATTCCAAAAAAATTACGTTGTGTCTTCGATAGAAAACTGATGGAAGCAAATCTTTTACTAAAGTTGGGCTATTACAGACGTGTAAACTTTCACGTCAAGAGAATGTGACAATGCCACACAACTTGCATAAATGTGAGCGAGAGACCGATACAAATGTCTTATGATATTTGACACGTTTGTAACGGCCCAACTATTACGTCCATCATCCATTGCGTTTAAACTGCCAGAAATCCAACCCGGTTAAAATTAAAATGAAGGAGTAATTTATTCAAAATTTAAATAACAATTTTCATATTCCAGGTCATACCAACACACTGCCACAGCAACCTGAGGATCCAGACAAAAATGTCAATCTGGCTTTAGAAACTGTTCTAGAGTTTTCTAATAAATACCAATCAGGCGAAGAAAAACTGCTAAACGTCGTTCAAAATTTTATCAACCGACTTAAAGATGAAATGCATCATGATAAACCAAATAACTCTGGAAAACATTCAAGGAGATCTTCAAGCGATAGCAAAGATGAACTAGAAATACTAGGCCTCAAAATCATCGATAGATTAAATTATTTAGAGAATCAGGTAGATGAAATAAAGCAAAACAACGCTCTGAAGGATTGTTCGACAAACGACAAAAACCAAACTGTAAATTGCTTCAGTAGAAGTAGTAGCGGAAGAGATATAAATGGCGACGGATTTGTCAAACTTGTCGAAGTCCAAAAAGGAAGTTTGAGGCAAAAGTATAACATTACAGATGACACGAGCGATATTGTTATTAAGAAATGCGATAAATGTAACGTTTCAAGGATATATAAAAAGATCTTAAAGACAAACGTGAGAGAAACGAATGAAGCTACATCATCGAATCATACGAACACGTTTATGACAACGTCTAATCTGAAATTATATCAGGAGGAATTGAATCCGCATCATCATCATCACAACAGACCAAGAATGAATACAAGAACTAGAATATATCACACAACTGCAAAATCAAGTGATGAAGTCAAGTTAGACCAAATAATTGTAAGATTAAATAAAACGAAATTGTCATTGGATGAGAGACTAAGATCAGTTGATCTTACAACGATAGCAACAGAGGCTACGTCAACAATAAATTTAACTCTAGCAACGAATGAAATTATTCGTAATTTTAGCAGAACCTTTCCTCTATCTGGTAGCTACGTCCCGATAGATGGTAGAAAGTTTAATGACAAAAATACAAGTTCTATTGGGGCATTGATAAAAGAATTAAAAGATAGGAAATTTGAAAGTCAAACTGCGAAAGACAAAGCAATATCTAATAAAGTTATGGATTTTTTTTCTCTTCCACGTAATCCTGTATTTCGTCCGTCCAATGTATGGTGATTTAGTTTCAATAAATAAAAAATATCTCGAATTTTTTGACTGTCCCATGACTCAATAAAGTTTTGTGGAAAGTAACGCGCTTTTATTTTATCAAACAATTTTAATTATTTTTACAACGAATGTGTTCTCTCCTTGAGTCCCACGTTGGGCGCTAAATTACCGAGTTAGGTTAATAACAGCTTTATATAATAGTATTAGAGGTATAAGATATTATTGTATAGTCTTACGACTGCTTTGTTGGTTGTTGGAAGTGTAATTGCCGAGTAACAGGTTTCAGGATCGCTATCCAGCTCAGTCAGTCATGTAATTTCACGGTGTTTAGAATTGGACTAGATTTATGGCAATCGAGGCATCCCCCTATTACATGGGACTCGTAGCATAACCAGTGAAAAGTGGGTTTTGTATTTGTGGACCTCTGAGTGTTGTTATGTTATTATTAGTGTTATATAATTGTGGATGAAGTTAAGTATAAATAATAAAAATGCTAGAATTGCTAAATATGTTCTTGGTAGAATTTTAACTAATTAACATACTTATTAAATTATTCAGAACAGGGTATCATCGATTCCGCAAATAGCGACTGGATTCTCTGACTACTGCTTTAATTATGTGTTTAGAGTTCTGTCTCTAATTGTCATAAAGAAAAAATGCTTAGTAATATTGAAATATGGCAAGAAATGTTAAGCGCGCCATCTCTTAGTACTTTCTGAAAGTAAATATCTTCAATTTATCTAAGTAGATGTCGCTACGGTTAGCCTACGAAAATTAACTAAAAGTACGTCACTATTTAAATCTGTATTATCGACATCTTTAGATGTCATGTTGTCGATGTCATCTGTCAAATGTGACAGATTAGAATAGTTTCCCGCGCAAAGAGTGAACGCGACATAGGGACATGGTATCGAAGCAAAAGTATCGATACTGTACTCAGGAGTAGAATCGATAAAAAAAGTTTCGTACTCATTAAAGTATCGAAACAAAAATATTGATAGGTACTTCAAGGTATCGAGTACTTTTTTTAGATCAAAATTTGTATAGAACAAAGTTTAGTAAACAATGTCGGTATTACTTCAGTTCGGCAGGAAATAAAAAACAAATGGTATTGGTATACAAATATAGGACAATAATAAAAAAAATATGAAACACATTGAAAATGTAGGAAAAAGAAACAATATTAACTCGTCGAGTACCGTCATTATAGACACAATTATAGAACAATAGGTTGCGGTCACCGGTGACCGCTTGGTGTTTGACAGTTTAAGTTATTTCAGGTATATTAAATACTAACAAAGTCCCACGGTTTCAACCGCATAGTAGATTAAAGATCCCATTCCTCCACCATTCAATCACTTAAAAATAGAAGCTTGTTGAGACTCTATAGAGATAAGCGGTTTCGGATTTTTGTGATGGTACTGCCTGCTTTAGAAAATAATCGTTCTGAAGGTACTGGCGACACAAGATTAGATATACATTCTCGTGTCAATTTATATAAATGTTGGGTACTAATTGTACCCAACATTTAAAAAAGTAAAAAGTAAAAATTCCCAAAGTTTTGTACCGTACAATTCTTTGGGAATTTAACTGCGAACGACCACACGGTAAGAATAAGTTCAATCGATCGAATTAAAAACCTTTCAAGGAGTCAGCTATTTTTCATTCGATACGATATCTGGGAAAAAGTAAGTACTTATTGAGTAAAAGTATCGAATGCAAAGTATCGAGTACAAAAGTATCGGTATCGAATGGGAATGTACTCGATACCACATCACAAAGCATCGATACTTTTTTCGTGTCCCTATTCCCTAATAATGCGCGATCTTGGTGGGAAGCATAGATTATAAACTATAACTGGAATAGATAAGCAACTCGATGATCATAATGAAAGTCAAGCAAAATTTTGTGCACTAATCGATAGATGGCGCTAAATCTTTTTAGTACCTAAAAAATCCGGTAGATAGTGCTGTTAATTAATAACTGGTTTAAAATTATTTTATTTGGTAGAATTGAAACGACAAAAATAAGATTAACATTCATTTATTTCTCATAATAAAACAATATTGAAAACCAAAGATCACGAACTTGAAACTGGAATCCTTCATCATCAGATTAACGCTGACAAATTCTATTTATTTTAAAATTGTTGTAAAATAGTTTGACATTATTAATTATACATATTGTTATAATTTAGTCCATTTATATTGTTTTTCTCACTCATAAAATTGAATCTGACATTTTCTTAATTGCATGTCGACAGGCGAAACATAGCGCACTGTTATTACATATATGCTTCACCTGTATTATACATGTACTTATTACATATGTTTGCCATAAATAACTTCAACTTTGAAAAAAAAATGAGATATTTCAAATTACACCACAAAAGTACATATTTCAGTATACTTGGAATCAGTAAGAAATAACTCATTATTATGGTACAAAAAGTGTGAAAAATAAACTATAAAATAACAAAACAGTTATACTAAAAATTAACACAAAAAGTTGGAAATAGCGTTTTGTTGAGTGTAGTGCTTTTGTTTATAGGGAGTGTGTAGATTTTTAGTGTATGACGAGTATGGATATTATTTCATAGAACATTAATTTAAAAATGCGTTAAAACCATTTCTTTCCAATAATTTTATTAATTATTATGTAATTAATAATATATATTCATTGTGACACGCGTGTCCATCCACACTTGCAAGTGATTTTAATGAATCTTGGTACACATAAGCAATACATTATCAAGGTCTTATAAATTGAAATGGAATTAAAATTATGAATTAAAGAAAAATATGAAATAATTTCTTTTTAAACATAAATTATACAGTTGTTGTGAACGATTGACAATACAAGTGCAATATAGCGAGTTTACTCTATTTTGTGTTAAAATTTACTAAATCCTATATAATAATATAATTTTACAAACATAACATCACGCCTTTTATCCCTGAAGGGGTAGGCAGTGGTATACATTATGCCACTGTATAATGCAACCACACATTTTTCACTATTTATGTTAAGAGTCTTATGTCATAGGGGGCGAGCCTATTGCCATATACCGGGCATAATTCCAGACTCCGGGCATAATTCCGACTACTAAGAATTTTTTAAAAACCCAATAATACTTTGTCTGTCCCGGGAATAGAACCCGAGACCCTTGCCCGACAGTTGCACTTGCTACCACTCGGCCAACGAGGCAGTCGAGGCAACGAGATATAAATAATTTTAAAGTACAAAACATATTAATACCCATACACAAAAACATCATTTGACTTTATCTTTAATACAAAACGTCATAAAGGGATAATACGAAATATCATAATAAGCCCAGAAGTTACATAAAATATAGAAAAAAATCTATAATATCATTAGTAAGCCGTGATAAGAAAATACTTGGTAATTTTAAACAAAAGTAATTTAGTACTCACACTTTTTAGTATCAAATATTTGTGATAAACATTAATTTTATAATAATATTTAGTTACTGAAAATATGTGAAGGTTTTTTTTTATATCATTAGTTTCAATTATGATGATTAATGATGACAATGAAAGTTATTGAAGATTTTGAACTATTAATAATAATTTCAAATTATTCTGCAAGTGAGCAGTAATACTTGTGTCTTTAAAAGTTTCCATACTCATGAAATTAATATAAAACTAAATTTCATATCTCTCTCACTCTAAACTCTTTTTCGAAAATGTGACTTAAACCTTGATATTCTCATTAAAATTGACTTGGTGTTTTCTTGATTCTGGACTTCGTTGACTAAACATTATTACATTTTATTTTTTATTAAACTTTTTTTTATACATTTCAAACGCTTGTTGTTTGATTTGGTCATTCTTATCAAATTTTGTTATTTTACCTGCCAAAATTCTATTCACCCCATTGCACCAACTATGTATAATTAATTTAATTGAAAGATCATTAATAAACTCAATCAGTACCTCCTTATGTTGATCACATGATATAACATTATAATCACATGCACAATTTATCATATATTTTATTTTCTTATTAAGTACATTTGATTCAGGATAATCGCGTAAGCATGCAACAATAACATGATAAATATCACTCATCAAATTATTAAAACTTTCACTTGGCTGAAACAATGATTTTTTTGTATAATCAACTTCGTAAGTGAATGATTGAAAATCCACATCAGATCTACAGAAATCACGCATGCAAATTTTACAGTTTTTAAAAATCTTCGATTTAATTTTTTTAATTACGTACCCAGTAACGTATTTTTTCGATTCGCTATAAATCAAAGAATTATTATTTTTTATTTCGGTCATCGTTCTTATTAGTGTATCAATTTCACATGCAAAATCATCGTGGTCTGAATTACCTGGCTTTTTATAAAGTAAATTAGTAATTGATTGAAATGATTTGCTATTATCGTTTTCACAATTGGCTCTAACAGAATGTACAGAATTAAAATTATTAATCAACAATGTTTTGTAAGCACTGATGAACTGTTTGCAATTAGGATTAACATTACGAATACCATTGCTCCTTATACTACTAAAAAATTTTTCTAATGGATCTTGGTTAAAATTTCGAGTTAATACATTTCTTAATTTATATTTTGCATGCAAGTATTGCCACATTTCATTAAAAGTTTTAATATTATGTATCCAATTTCTGATTGAGGGAATCGATTCATGCTTAATCAACTCACAATTATTTCTTTTAACTATTGATTCAAATTTAATAGATTCTAAAATCGGCAACAAATCATTCCACAGCTGAAAATGGGGTGAATTATTTTTCAAACATTGTTTATATGGCTTTGGTGAACCTTGATAAGAATGACCGTTAAAAGAATCGAAAAGTTTATCAAATATTAAAATGAAATCTGCTGTTCCTTCACATTCCTCAGGTAGAATTTTATGCTCTGAAACAAAACATGAAAGTAAGTTTTTATTAATGAATGAAAAGCTTACTTGAAGTTTTTTTAAAGTAATTGATGTAAAAACTTGACATCACAACTAGTAACCTCGTACAAACTACGTGTATTGAATTTGACTAATTATTATGATCCCCATTTATATCATCATCAACAGCCCATAAGTGGCCACTGCTGATCAAAGGCTTCTTCTCACACGGAGAAGTTTTGAGCATTAATCACCACGCTTGCTCAATGCGGGTTGGCGATCTCAAACTTATAATTATAAATGATAACCCCAGGTTTCCTCGACATGTTTTCCTTCACCATTTGACAGTGGTGTCTAAATAATCTTAAAAAAGTCATATAACACGGAAAAAGTCACATTGGTACTTGCCGTTGACATATATTATATGTTGAATTAGAATTATTGTACTCACTTGATAAAAAACGTAACGCGCTGGATACCCTCTGGCTGAATACTTGCGCTGCGTACTTAACTTTCATTTTAGGGATTTTTTCTTTCACGACGTGCATTTCTGTTAATTTATTCACTAATCTTATTTCATCATCTCCATCATCTATTTCTAATAACATTTTTAAATGTTCCCACTTAGCCCATTTTGTTTCACCATTTTGTATGTATTTTGCATTTTTTGTTAATAAATTATTTCTTACTCCTTTGAGTAGGTGCGGAGTGTCAAAAAGAGGAAATATTTTACAGGCGTCTACCTCTATAGCATTTGAGTTATATGTATCTCCTCGTCTTAAATACATTGCTTTAGTTTCTTTCTGCAGCTCCTGCACCACTCGCACATTAGTAGTGGCTTGGTCACAGATAGTCGCCACTACTATTAGCCCAGTGGCGTTGATTTCTTTTATAATTATTTTTAATAAATTTTTTAACTCATTTGCTTTAGTCGTATCTTTACAAAAGGTAAAACAAATGGGCTGTTTACTTTTACTTTTAATCCCTTTGATCATGAACACAAGCGCGTGGTCAGCCAGAGTCTTTTTTCTTTGGTGCCCCAAGTCTTCGAATCCGACTATTTTTCCTAGTGACGAGATAAATTCTAGTCCAGGTGCTAGTGACACCTCGTCAAATAATATATTAACGAGTTGTTTTTCCTCAGTTAAATTTTTGGCAACGTCCTTTAAATCAGCTAATATATTTTTATTAACGCCAGGTTCTAAGTTAAATGTACTCAGCATCAATTGCAAACAACGTTTCGATGGTAACACGAACATTTTTTTTAATAATTTGTGTGCCTTTGGACTTTGCTTTAGAATGGTTAATGCCATTACTTTTTCACTGTTGCTGTAGCGTCTGCCCCTTGCCTTTACCGTACCTTTCAGCTGCATTTTTGTAAAAGTTTGTACTTCTTCAGGCAACTTTTCCATTATTTTCAAAAACGCTTTGTTCATTGATATTTTCTTGGCTGCTTGTATCTTTTTATTGACATTTTTACATTTAATGGACATTTTGGTCAACTTCTGTTTTAACTTGTATATTAATTTGTTATCAGCGTTTGTTTTTCTTAAAGAGCATTTTCGACCTGAAACATGTAAAATAGTAAATTATTTCAAGAAATTAATATTTTATACATATATCAGCTTTGACTTCAGCTATTTAGGTCAGCCACCTTCATATGCATAATTATTAGTAAAGTTTATTGTTAAAATATGTAAAAGATGATAAATCTTGTATATAAATAAAAGATAATATAGGAAATCTCTGGGTCGATTTTTCTTTGACAGAAACTCCATGGAGCTAATGTTAAAAATGTGTCAAATTCCACAGATATCGAAGCATTACACATTACCTTATATTGTCGAAACAAGGTATGAGTAAAATAAAAAAAAGTACTAACCAGGGGCATACTGAGGTTGAGGAGTTGCAGATGTTGAGGGCTGATATGTGACTGCTGAGTTTATTGAGGTTGACACATGTGTGTTTGATATCATCTGGTTTTGATCTGATAAATAAAAACAAATAGGTACAGTTAATTATTGTTTGCATACCTAATTCGTAAAATGTTATAAACTTAAATATTATTTTTGTACGATTTATTATTATGAAAAATAAGTTGATGTTGTCTGTTCTAGCTTTGATTCCACATAATAATACAAAATACAGTTTACTAACCTGCCATGCTAGATGTTGAAGGTTGTTCATTTTCGGGAACAGTCGGTCGGTTGGTTTCCAACACAGTATATTGCTCTGAAAATGAAAATAATACGTAAATATAATACATAACAGTTTTCTTTTATCCTTTATCCCTGAAGGGGTAGGCAGAGGTGCACATTACGGCACTTAATGCCACTGTACAAATGTAACACTCACTTTTTACTATTTATGTTTTGAGTCCCATATAATAGGGGGTGAGCCTATTACCATATACCAGTCCCAATTCCAGACTCCATGCTAATTCTGAGAATTAAAAAAACAAACAGTAATACTTTGCCCGACCCGGAAATCGAACCCGAGACCCCTTGCCCGGCAGTTTCACTTGCGATTACTCGGGAAATGAGGCAATCAGTAAATATAATTATGTTATTATATACTTTATTGTACATGGTCTAGAAAGTTTTTGAATTGTTAGAGAAAATACATTCGTTCGTCCTGCTGCTTATAAATTCCTAATGCAAAATAAAGAGTACTATTTCCTCAACCTAGGAATCAAACCCAAAACCTTGTGAGTAGTATCAGCCAACACAATCACTTGTTGTGACATACCTACACTAAACAAGCAATAAATTTTGCATAATCTTTAATTATTATGAATAAAGCCATGTATTTTTTAAGATAACCGCGGATTACACAATAACTTGAGTGCTTATGAGATATTTAATTAATTTATAATACATACTTATACAAAATAATATGTCAAAAACGATCATATTCAAAAGTGAAAACGATAAATAAAATAAACCGATAATATATATAAATATGCTTAATTTTCTATAAATATCATCACATATTATCAAAATTTATTTAAAAAAAATACAATTGAAATGATTACATTAAAAGTTCCCCAAAAGTGGGATTCGAACCCGAGAGCCATTGCTCGGCAGTTACTCTAGCGACTCTTCGACCAACGAGGCAGTTAGTTTCTATTAGCTGTTAATACAGTTTATTAATATAAAAATATAATAAAATACAGTAATTAAATTAAATGATTATGTAAGACTAAAGTAAATTAAATATTATATTTAATTAAAACATTAAATTAAAAATTAATTATTAGCAAAATATTACTAGAAAAAGAATATTACACTAAATTATTAGAATAGAAATCTCTAAAAAATATACACAATTGGGGAATGGAACCGAATTGCTCGGCAGTTGCTCTTATGACTACTCGACCAAGCAACGAGGCTGTCAGTTTTTAGGTTGAACAAAAAAAAGAACAAAATAAACAGCACCCACTAAATTGCATGCTCTTTGCATGCAACAGCACCTACTAAATTACCTCTGCTTTTCTTTAACCAGAATAAAATGTAATTCATAGTAATGTATTTCATTTTTTATGTAGACCTTCATATTTAATACTAAGTAAATTTTTCTTAATATGTAGTATTCCATGCCATTAATAGTAGTATTCTTGATATGTAGTGTCCCATGTATCATTACATGTATTTTAAATAAATATAATATTTAAGGAATTCGTCATTAACAATTGTCTCGAATCGAATCGAATCAAGTTTCTTATTTGATGACAATTGTAATTGGTGTTACAAATTATCTACTAACCTGAATGTTCTGGGTTGGTGATGTTCGATGTTGGATATTCATTTTCCAATATGGGTAGTGTAGATGGTTCTGTTTCTTGCTCTGAAAATATTATTAATTCATGGTCAAATACTATTATTTGTGAAACTGATAAATAGTGTGCTGTTGTAATCTACTCATAATCTAAGCAGACAACAATGAATATTACCGTATAAATATATCATTGAAGTGGAACCCTTTTTCAATCAAAACACTTTATCCTTATTTGTATACTACTAAAATAAATTTAACGTGGGAACAGCATTTCTAGTCAAACGACGGCTCGGTAGGATGTAGCAGTCCAGAAAGTGCTTGTTGCAAAGTCTTACATTGCTGTATATATAATAATCCCCCTTCTCCCGCGTTGCCACATCTAGCACGGCCTTCCAATTAGAAAATCTTCCAATTTCATGCAGATTGTGGCTTTCGGGATTTGGAAAATGATGCAACGGGCCTGAAATAGTAGGTGCAATGCATATATAATATTATCTAGAAATGTAGATAATAAGATAATCTGTTGCTTAACATAATTAAAATTTTATATTTACACAGTACCAGTTAGTGAAAATGGAATGAATTTGGAATACAATATGGCACAATATACCTACATATCTATCTGGTAAAAGAAAGTGATGTTAAAGAAAATTATAATTTCATTAGGTCAGCTATTAGATGTTTTTATTAACTTACCATCATTGATGCACCGGAAAAAACATTTGAATCTGGATTTATAATAATAATAATAATAATAATTTATTTATTTATTCAGATAATACAATCCATATGGTTAGTAAAGATATCTACAACTTATAAACTAGTATTAGTACATCACACCTCTTCATATAAAATTAAAATAATTTGTCATAAGTAATATAATGATAATATAGTAACAATACTGCTGACTTTCACTACTTCTGGGCACGGTTTGTAGGCAACACTTGCGTCTTCGTCCAGTGTTTTAGCATAAGGCCATCAGTCCTATCCGCCACGGTCATCAGAAGACTGTTGGCGCTGCCCCGCACCCGCTGCATCAGGGAGGCGACACGCTTTCTTATGATTGCGTAGAAATCATCTATGCGTGCATCAGCGAACATCCCCGATGCGCTACAGTGTCGAGGCAGCCCCAACAGTGCCCTGTACGCGTTATTATATTGGACTCGCAAGGCGCTGTAAGCCCTCTGCGTGTAGTCGACCCATAGGCTGCAGGTATAAAAAGATTGACAATATGCCCTGAAAAGTGTAGCCTTCACATCATGAGAACACTTTGCAAACCTGCGGATCAACATATTGCTCCTGACTGACAGCGCCCTACGTTCCCTCTCCATGTCTTTAC